AACCTCATCTTGTGTACAGCAAAGGCAGAGCTGAAAATTCACTGTTTGTCTTGTATTGTGTGGTAAGTCATAGTTTTATTAATTTTTTAATTTTATTGCAACACTAAGTAGTCCATTCTGTGGCCAATATGATATAAAGGGCCTAAAATGGGACTGACGTGATCATTGTTTTGATTTCTAGATAAGTACTCATGGGGCTACACATGCAGCTGAAGTTAGCTTCATTGAGTAGGACATTTCTTTCAGTATACTCTTAAAGAGATTCACCAAAAAATGAAAATTCTGTCATTATTGACTCATCCTTCACTTGTTCCAAATATGTCTGACTTGCTTACTTCAGTTAAACACAAAAAAATTATATTTTAAAGAAAGATGAAAACCTGCAAACATTAACTTCCATAGTATTTGTTTTTTCCTACTATGTATGTCAATGTTTTCAGCTTTTCAGCTTTCTTCAAAAAACTTCCTTCATGTTCAACACAAAGTAACTTGAAAGATTTTAAAAAAGGTTTACAACCACTTAAAGGAGAGTAAATAGTGAACTATTCCTTTAACCCAATCTAGTTGACTTTACTAGAAAATTGTATAGAAACCCAGTGCCTTAAACCCCTTACATTTTATACAAGGTACAACTTAACAGCCATACTTGAATTAAAATATTACTGTAAGTTCAAGAAGATTGTAAAGGTTATTGGTTAATTTAAAGTGGGCTGTTTAGTTTCACCTTGTGTAAAAACATAAAGGGTTTAAGGCAACATGTTTCGATGCAGTTTTCTAATAAAGTCAACTAGTTTAGGTTAAGAGTGTAATGGGTTACAGTAATAGCAGTGAATCATGCAGGCATAAAATAAATGTTTAGCCATGTAAAGCAATAAGCTTGTTATAATTTAGAAATATTTTAGGGTGAAGCACTGTATGCTGTTGTAGTTTTTATATAATTGATGAGTCAAACATGAGATGTGTTTTAAATTGCAAGAAGTGAATTAACAATATGTTCATCAAGATTCAAATCTTGCATCTTATATTTTTTAAGGTTTTGGCCCAATAATACCCATATTCTGCTATTTAAAAAATCATGCTGGAATTTGTGTCAGCATTCCCTTCAATGAAAACTACAACAGTGGACATCAGTGGTGATAAAAATGTATGGGAAGGATAAGGGTGTTCATAATGAGAAGTGCAGTTACTATCCTGATCTCTGAGTTTGTAGAACTGACAGATCTGCTTGGAATAAATGGAAACATGCTGGAAATGTTTAACCTATTATACAGTTAATTCAAGAGTGCCAGGTTTAATGACACTTTACATATATAAATAAATATCACTGAACTTTCTAAATGAAACCTAACACTCATTCTTTGTTCAGTAATGATGTTGTGCACTTCTAATACTTTACAGTGGCAAAACCTGGAATAACACATGGGAGCCCTCCAGGAATTGCTGACACTTTACGCCCAAGTCTCCTCATGCTAACCGGATTGCAATATGACAGTCTAGTCAGCATAAACACCTGGACTCACCAAGCACACTTTGGTTCTCAGTGTTTTGTAAAAAAGTTTTTGGTATTCTTCAGTAAATACTTGAATATGTTTTGAACTTATTCTACTTTTGATGTTTAAGTTCAGAAAGTTGTTATTATAAACATAATTTGCATTTGTCATGAACTTGACTTCTTGTTGTTGTGAAAGCTGTTTATTATAATGGCATTTCCAAAGGCATCGTTTAAAAGATTTTTTGCAGTGCAGTTTTACTTGAGCTTGACATACCAGATGTATGACATGAATAAATATCACAAAATAAATATAATAATAATAATACAAAATATACATTTCCTTCAATTATAATTGTTTTTAATCATTTATATATGTATGGTAATATATTATTGCATTAAAAACTTATAAAATATATATTTTTGGTTAAAATATATATTTTTGCATTTTTGCGTGATTTTTATTATTTATTTTTATTTGTGGCATTATAAATAAATTATAAATGTTCAATTAAAAATGTATTGTGTTTATTTGCATACTTATTTACAATGAACTACTATTTATACTATTTAATGGGCACTATATTTGTCATTTAAGTTTGACATATATTTATATTTGTATACCTACATGATGCAGGGTTTAGTTACAGCAAATGCTTGAAATGTTTTCAAACATGAAGCTTTTTTTATTATTTTATTATTCGTTTCAAATTAAGTATACTGCCTATGATCTGGTTTTACTATGATCATTTTACACATCAGGTTACCCCCACAAAGTAATCTCACGGTAAATATACATTTGTATTTTTAATAAGACAACAAATAACATGTAATATTAATACACATTTTGATATTTAAGTTATATTATAAGGTTATAATCAACCTTCAGCCGGAAGATTACCAAATAGAGACAAAGTGTGACGTAGATTGCGACGTTGTGATTGGACTATAACTTCAAAGCCAAATTAAAAGATCCTTCGTGTTGCTAACTATGTTTTGCTAACTTTGCCACTTTACTAACAGTGTCCTTTATCAATGAGTTATCGCTGTGTTTTAAATAGTTAACGATTAACCAAGATCGTAACCCTAAACTTAACCCTAACTACACCTTTCAAGGAACTACAATTTGTAGCGCCATGTCTTTCCCCTCCCATCTATACAGTGACAAAGGATTGTGGGTAATGTAGTTTAAAGCCTTTTTTTAATAAAATGGAATAAATACAATTTTTTATGAACTAAAGACTATCTGAATAAGGTCATTGTGCATATATTTATGACATATATGAAAGCCAGGCATAAATTTGTTATTTTACAATGAGTATTTTTTAAACAGCTTTTATTGACTTGATCAGTATATATCAGACTATTATATCCAACATTATTTATTGAACATAGCATAGGTAATAGTCTTGCTGATATTCTCTCACTCATTTCTCGTTTGAAATGTGAATACTTTTTCCTTTTCTACGGGGCTCTACTCATCCCCTTTGAGTAAAAGGGCAGTTAACCTATGTAGATGTATTATCTTCAACATGGACAAGAAATTGTATTGTTACATGTACAGTTGTGGTAAAAAAAAAAAAAAAAAAAAAGCTGTAAAAATAAGCTAAACATTAGTATCCTCTTTAATTACAAGTTATTAGCAATAGTGATCTATGTTCATCACAAATGTTATGAGTTCAGAATAATATGTGTGGATGTAATTCTGTAATTGTGTTTCATTAATGGTCATCATGTGATATTTAATTGTTTTCACTTTATTTGAAATATGGATAAAAGCTCTTTTAAAATATGTAAATGTTTATAAATAAAACCTTTTTAAAGACATGTATTTGTTTGAAAACCACTCTTTATCTGATTATTTTTACTTTCTAAATCTTCAACTGTTTGTGTAACAGTATGTTTTCATGACAATGGATGAACTTGTGTTTAATAATGATTCCACATAATCTCTTTGTCCTGCATGTGGGTTAATTTGTTAATTATTTTCTTTATGATCAAATGATTGCAAGATTTGCTGCATTGTAAGAATCATGAAAATATTGAGAAATGAGGTAACAATGATGAAAAGATATCCTTTCAAATGCTGCGAATAGTTCAAACCTCCAAATGATTAAAAATACATAGCCATTAACCAACAAAATAAAATTGCAAACCTTTAAATCATCTAAACTAGAAGAAAAATAGTTCTGTGCAGTATTTATAAGTTACTGTGTAGTTCTATGTCTACCAAAAATACATATTTCAATACATATTTTATTTTCATTCATTCATTTTCTTTTTGGCTTAGTACCTTTATTAACCAGGGGTCGCCACAGTGCTATGAACCGCCAACTTTTCCAGCATGTCTTTATGCAGCAGATGCTCTTCCAGCCGCAATCCATCTCTTGGAAAATATTTTATTTTTTATCTTGCATTCAATAAAACATTATACAAATGTAATTTTTATTTTCAGAATAACAACAGTCGCACTGTTATCTCACAACAAGTGCAGCAGTTTTTTGTTAGACATTCTAACAAATTAATACAAATGTTTCAAAGTAAGGACAAAAGGAGATTCATTTTTTTTTTTTTTTAGAAAAATCCATGAGGACCAAATGGATCCATCAGATCTTTGATGTAAATCATAGGTTAATTTTTCCAGAGGTAGAAGTGTGGTTGCCTGACTCAGCCACATATTGACTGGAGGTATCTGAGCAGTTGACCATAATAATGTACATTTTTTGCCCAAGTATATGCAAAAATTAAATTTATCATAAAAATGTATCATTAAATTTATATTTTAAAAGCTCTTAATGTCACTTAATGTAATAATTTCATTTTAATAAAGAGTTCCTTAAATCGTTATATGTTGTAAGCAGTTAGGCATACAATAATGCTCTTAATTTACAACACTGATTGATTTTTGAGGAATGCTTACATACTGTACATATCTATGTATTTAAAAAAAAAAAAAAGACAATTTGGTTATAGATGATGACAATTTTATTTAATTTTTTACAGATTTTATTACATGCTTTAGATTCAGGGTTAAGGTCATCCTCTTCTGGATTACAGTAAAAGAAAATCCACAGTCAATGTCATACTCATCAGCTGGAGCTTTATTTAAAAAAATCTATGTTCTCTGCTCCAGCCAAAACTTGCAGGTACCTTGCAGGTCTCTAGATTGCACCATCGTATTGTTGTTTATTTCTCAGTTATTTTGTTGCTTTTTGAGAATGATGATCCAAAGACCTTTTAACCCCTCTTCGTTAAGGCCACATGTCGAATCTTAAAAGAAGAACACAACAACATAAAAATATATTAATATCCTTTGGACTGGGTAACCTTATGCTTATGTCTGTGCCAAAAAATACAAATACATACCAGTACTTTTCAGTAGCAAACAAGCAGGAAAGTTCTTTGAAAGAACCAGGATGAGTTGAAAGGTATTTATAGTGGTTGACCATCTCTGCCACAAGAATCCACTGCTTCTCCTGAAGAATCCTGACTAGCAGGATGATGTTGAACACCCTCTCTTTGTTGCTGGGTCAGCAGAGTCTGAAATATATTTATGAAAAGAAAGTTGTATAACAAGGATTATACGTCAACTTTTAAAGAATCAACACTGACAGAAGTCTAGTGTACATACCATGCAATATGACGAAGACATCCACATCACTTCTTCTTTTTGTTGTCTTTGCTTCTGCTACTGAAAAAAAAATGACAGTAATAGTAACACTTACAATTTTTCATGACTACATGTAATATTAATAAGAATTTCCTCACCCTCTGCCCACTCCTCTACGTCACAGACCAAAGTCTTCCAACTGGTTTCCGGTCACTGCCAGTTTCATGGATTCTGTTTTCCAATTTGCTTTGCAGAGCTGTTGTGGTCTACAGTGATAAGCAATCAAAAATCACAATACTATTTAAATAGGTTACAGAACAACTAAAACAAATTCAACTAGATATCGTTACCTTCTGATATCAATAGGTCAGCGAGATGGCCAAATTGTTGAATACCTGCTAATTCTAGCACATGACCATGAGAGTTACAGTAGCATGTCTGGTCACTGCAATCCTATAGAAGAAAAATTGCACTGTTCAACCTCCTTCCCAAGAGTAAAACCAGGCATATCCTGGTATGCCTCACTCCATTTCACCTGGTTAACATATACAAACAAACAAACAAATAAGTAAACCAATAAGTTTTGGCATTTACTTGTAGATCAGTTTAAGACAATCACATAGTTCATCTATCTCAGATATAAACTCATGTGATTAGGCATGAAACACACTAAAATCATGGGCTTAAAGATGGTGCTGAAACTTTGGACAGCTTTTTGCAACTCTTTGGAGGTAGTGTCATTAGTTGATGTAGTCCACAAATCTTCCTGTCAATTCTTAATCCTTAGCTGTAAATAAACCTTCAAAAATGCCAGTGTTTGAAAAAGGAATGAAACAGTACAGAACAAGTGCATGACAGTTTATATCTTCTAATCTAATTTTCTTAGGTGAACATTACAGAGCTGTTTTCTTGTTAATTTAGTTTCAACACATACAGTTTAAAGTACCTCGTGCATTCTTGAAATGGTTATGCTTATGGTTCATATCTACTTAAATTGGTAGTATATCTAGTGTGGAAGCAGAACAGATGAAGGGCGCTTTCTTGCAAATACTATCCACCTTGACTCCCACTCAAGAATATCTCAGAAAAATGTCTGCTGAGATCTTAGCAGTCCATTAAAAATAATTATACCAACATCTTTTCCACCAATGGAAAGAATATAAAAATACTTTAGGATATATTTATACTTGCATGACCAAATCTGAGATAAAAAGGCCATCAGTATGCCTTAGTTTAAATAAAACCAAAATTTTACTCTAGCCCACTGTCACCTAGGTCTACAGATACAGGGACTAATGGAAACAATGAAGTACACACTGACAGTCGGAGATCCTGAAGAAGGACTTCAGGAGCCTGATCGAGACGGTTCGACGCACCTCGCCCGCCACGCAGATCATCGTTTCTGGGCCGCTTCCTACCTACCGCCGAGGAAATGAAAGGTTCAGTAGACTTTTAGCTTTGAATGAATGGCTAATAACATGGTGTAAAGAACAGAAATTGCTCTTTGCTAATAACTGGAATCTTTTCTGGGAGCGTCCTAGGCTCTTCCGTCCTGACGGCCTGCACCCCAGTCGAGCCGGAGCTGAACTCCTGTCGGACAACATCTCCAGACTACTTCGCACCATCTGACTAGCAGGTAAAAATTCACAAAATTCACACTATAGCCACCTAGACTCTTGTTCACCCCACTTAAACATCAGTAACGCATATCTGGCGAATCCTATAGAGACTGTGTCTGTTCCTCGTATTATTAGATTAAGAAATAAACGTACTGTGTGCTCCAGGAAAAATCTAGTAAGAATCAAACCAGAAAAACCAGTAGAAAGTGAAAATACAAATTTCGTAAAACTTGGTCTCCTAAACATCAGGTCACTTGCACCTAAAGCACTTATCATTAATGAAATAATAACAGAAAACAATCTTAATGCACTCTGTCTCACTGAAACCTGGCTGAAACAAAATGACTATATTAGCTTAAATGAAGCAACTCCTCCAGGATTCTTATATAAACATGAGGCTCGTCAAACTGGTCGTGGTGGTGGAGTTGCATCAATCTTTAGTGATTTCCTTAATATTAAACAGAGAAACGGACTTATGTTTAGCTCCTTTGAAGTATTATCGCTTAATGTTCAGCTTCCAGATACTATACAAAAACCTATGTTATCTCTCGCTTTAATCACCATATATAGACCCCCAGGACCCTATGTCAAATTTCTAAAAGAATTTTCTGATTTTATTTCTGACTTACTAGTCAAAACTGATAAAATGCTAATTGTAGGTGACTTTAACATCCACATAGATGACGCTAATGATACATTAGGGCTCGCGTTTATGGATTTAATACACTCACTTGGGATAAAGCAAAACGTTGTGGGTCCAACCCATCGCTTAAAGCATACATTAGATCTAATTCTGTCTTATGGAATCGAGGTTATTGACGTAGACATTATACCACAAAGTGATGATATTACAGATCACTACCTCTTACTATATAAGCTATGTTTACCTGAAATCAGCAAACCCGCTCCAATACTCCGCCCTAGTAGAACTATTGTTCCGTCAACTAAAGATGAATTTATAAATAACTTACCTGATCTCTCTCTATTTCGTAATGCACCCGCAAACTCAAATGATCTTGATGTAGTAACCAGCAGTATGGATGCCATCTTTACTAGCACACTAAATACTGTGGCACCCATAAAATTAAAAAAGGCTAGAGAGATTAAAACTATACCATGGTATAATAGTCATACTCGTGCGCTCAAAACAGCAACCCGCGCCCTGGAACGTAAATGGAAAAAAACTAATTTAGAGGTCTTTAGAATTGCGTACAAAGACAGTATGTCCAGCTATAGGAGGGCTCTAAAATCTGCCAGGACCGAGCACCTGCGCAAACTGATAGAAAATAATCATAACAATCCTAGATTTTTATTTAACACCATCTCTAAATTAGCAAATAATCGGTCATCCTTGGAACAAACTACTCCACCGCAAATTAGTAGTGATGACTTCATGAATTTTTTCAGTAATAAAATAGAAGGCTTTAGACAGAAAATAGGAGATGCCAAACTTTCTGCACCGGCTTATACTCCAAATCCTGTAAATATTTCATTAAATCATAATAATAACCTACACTGCTTCAAAATCATAGAACATGAAGAGTTAGTGAAAATTATAAATAGCTCTAAACCAGCTACGTGTATGCTGGACTCAATTCCAACAAAATTACTGAAAGAGCTGCTACCTGCTATAGGAGAACCTCTTCTTAACATTATCAACTCTTCTTTATCTATAGGCCATGTTCCAAACTCTTACAAGCTAGCTGTTATTAAGCCTATTATTAAGAAACCGCAACTAGACACCAACAACTTAGCTAACTATAGGCCTATTTCAAATCTTCCATTTATGTCTAAAATACTAGAAAAAGTTGTTTCCACTCAATTATGCTCTTTTCTGCAGACGAACAATATTTTTGAAGTGTTTCAGTCAGGTTTCAGGGCTCATCACAGTACAGAAACCGCCTTAGTGAAAATAACCAACGATTTACTCTTAGCTGCTGACCGAGGGTGCGTCTCGCTATTAGTTTTACTCGATCTTAGTGCGGCATTTGATACCATTGACCACAATATCCTCATAAATCGCTTAAAGTCTACAGGTGTCCAGGGACAGGCTCTACATTGGTTTAAGTCATACTTAACTGACCGCTACCAGTTTGTAAATCTTAATGGACAGCCTTCACAAATCTGCCCAGTAAAGTATGGGGTGCCTCAAGGATCAGTTTTAGGCCCTTTACTGTTTACAATTTACATGCTACCTATGGGAGACATTATTAGAAGACATGGGATCAGCTTTCACTGCTATGCAGATGATACTCAATTATATATTTCCACTAAACCTGACGAGACGTCTGAACTTTCTAAACTAACTGAGTGTATCAAAGACATCAAAGACTGGATGACCAACAATTTTCTTCTCTTAAACTCAGACAAAACAGAATTATTACTTATTGGGCCTAAATCTTGCACACAGCAGATCTCGCAACTCAATTTACAATTAGAAGGATACAAAGTTAGCTTTAGCTCTACTATAAAAGATCTGGGTGTCATATTAGACAGCAATCTAACTTTTAAAAACCATATATCCCATGTCACAAAAACTGCCTTCTTTCATCTGAGAAATATCGCTAAATTACGAAATATGCTATCCATCTCAGATGCAGAAAAGCTAGTCCATGCTTTTATGACTTCGAGACTGGATTACTGTAATGCTCTATTTGCTGGCTGCCCAGCATCCTCTATTAACAAACTTCAATTAGTGCAAAATGCAGCAGCCAGAGTTCTGACCAGGTCTAGAAAATATGATCATATCACCCCAATTTTATCCTCCTTACACTGGCTGCCTGTTAAATTTCGTATTGAATTTAAAATATTACTTCTCACCTATAAAGCTCTAAATAATCTAGCTCCTGTTTATCTAACCAACCTTCTGTCTCGCTACGAACCAACTCGCTCCTTAAGATCTCAAAATTCAGGGCTTCTGGTAGTACCTAGAATAGCAAAATCAAGTAAAGGAGGTCGAGCCTTCTCTTTCATGGCTCCTACACTCTGGAATAGCCTTCCTGGTAATGTCCGAGGCTCAGACACACTCTCCCAGTTCAAAACTAGATTAAAGACCTATCTGTTTAGTAAAGCATACACTCAGTGCATCACCTAGCAGGTTCCACACTGGCTTCTACATCTTGCTTATATACACTATGAACAGCAGCTACGCTAATTATTCTCTTTATTCTCTATTTTCACCTGGGGATACTCATCCCGAGGTCCTCAGATTAGGCGGAGTCACTGATTGGATCCAAGACCAGCGACGTGATGATCCCAAGGATTCCATATCCGGGACCAGGCCATATCCTGAGCTGCTGCTGCGCTGATGGTCGTGGGGAGTGGAGAACATGAGTCTGATTCCAGCGACGCTCCAGGGACAGACGAGTCTTCATTGAGGCCATCTTCCAGCATAAACCACGGCGAATGAAGTTCTGCACAAGACTTTTGGCCAGCGGAGAAATTAAAATGGTCGTGCCCAACTGAGTCTGGTTCTCTCAAGGTTTTTTTTCTTCACTCCCATCAGGTGAAGTTTTTTTTCCCTCTCCGCTGTCGCCACTGCCTCGCATGGTTCAGGATTGGTAGAGCTACGCATCGATGAATTTGCTCTTCAGTGTTTGAACTCTCAGTAATGATTAAATCACACTGAACAGAGCTAAACTGAACTGAACTGAACTTAAACACTAAAACCTGAACCACACTGTTCCAATTACTATGACCATTTATGTGAAGCTGCTTTGACACAATCTACATTGTAAAAGCGCTATACAAATAAAGCTGAATTGAATTGAACAGTCACTGGAGCAAGGCTCTCTCACAGTTGGGAAGATTGGAGTTCCTATGAGCTGTACCAGATAAAAACAACAAAAAAAATGTACATTTATAACATTTCTAACTTATCCTAAGACTAGTAGACAAGCAGCATAAGCAGTTCTAATTTCCTAAACCCCAATGTGGACAGTTGATGGCCTATAAGGTGTCATAAAATCAGACAAAACAAAATACTTTCTGAAAAAGAAAAAAAATGGTTGGCCACTATCAACACCCAGAACAAATAGTTTTAAACAGTTAGGCCACAATATTTTGTGAGCTTATGCTGTAGTTTTTTAATGTTTGTCATAAACAATAGTAATAGTAAAACTAATGTGTCTCTTTCTGTTATTACAATAGTAGTGAAAGAATAAATGCATTTTATCTCATACAATCACATATGCCTAAACAATGTAGATATTTAATATACATGGAATAAAAACTTCACTAACCCTTGACTGATTCCAGAGTGGTCTTGGCCTTCCTTACATGGTGGTGCTTTCTGCAGATTACCAAGTTGTCATCAAAACTTGAGCTTATAATTGAGATCTTGATGATAAATCTGAGTATTGAGGAATCACTCATGGTGATAGGCAGAAACAGGCTGAAAGACACAAGAATTAATCAAACAAATATAAATGTGTTAACAGAGATAGAGAGAGAGACAAGTTCAATTTAACATACAGACATGGGTAAAGTGGCTTTACTTTTTGCGCATTAGAAAACAAAATTGGATTTTTAAAGAAATCTAAAGAACCTGAAAAGAGCAAAGAAAAAATATTCATATCTGAACAGTGAACACCTTATAATTTACACCTGTATATATATATGTGTGTGTGTGTGTGTGTGTGTGTGTGTGGTAGATTAAGCTATTTTTTTGTATAGTTTTGTGTTGTACAATGAATAAAATGTGCTCAGACGGGCAAAATTTCTGCCTTTTTCCTTTAAAGGCATGGAAAATAATTGTTTTTACAATAAACCTTTGGAAACACTTGATGTTCTTTAATATTGAAACAATTACGAATACATTTGTATTATTAGAGTTGCATATTGCATATTATATATAGATTTTGCACGAATTCTATTGTGGAAAACAACAATCTGGTTACACTGTTCCTTATCTTAAAATGTATATATTGTTCTAATGCATGACCAACGTTATATGTGAGAAAAATATGTTTTTAATAAATTAACTTGATGTAATTAGATAAAGTCGCTAGATTACAGTACATGCTTTATCAACAAATCGTGTTTATTTGTTTACTTTTTACTTACCTTGTGGAAAACCGCAGTGAACCTTGGGATCACAATGAACCTTGGGATAGCGAGCATAGACTGTAAAAAATAGATCGCCACATACAATGACCCCAACTTTAATAAATAATTTAAAATGAAAAATATCAGCCGAAAACATTTTTAAACTTAGTACTTGAAATTTAATATTTTTTTTAAAGTAAAAAAACAATAAATAATATGAATGAATCAAAGTTTTATTAGGCATAGTTACCCTAAACTGGACAACCGAATATATTTTCACTCATTAAATATAAAGTAAATGATAACATATTTATAAACACCAACTAATCTCCAATAAAAATATATTATGCAGCATTAACGTAATATTTAATGTTGACAGTTGAACTCATCTGAGAACTCACCGCTGATGCAGTTTGACCAATAGCAGAGCGGCGTTAAACTCACCGTGAAGGGATGTCACGTGGGCCGAAGTTTATTCATACAGTAGTTTCGACCCCGTTTACAGACGCTTTTCATGAACAAAATAAAAATTACATATTTTTAAAATAAGAAAACTGTGATAATAGGCGTAAATCAGGTTTTTAAAAGTTTGTTGACATCTATTGGTAATTATACGAGCCTATAGCGTCTCCCTGTGACGCCTCAGGCTCAGGCACAGATTCCATAGGGAATCCCTGCACGTCTAAATATGACGCTAAAGGGGTACCCTGTGCGTCAATAACTGACGCCGAGGGTTCCTGACCAAGCGTCAGTATGTGACGAGTTGGGAGTGAGAACGTGTTGTTAAAATACAGTGTAAATTCACTAATGTTGATCCTGGACCATCATCATTAAAATACAGTGTAAATTCACTAATGTTGATCCTGGACCATCATCTTTTAAATACAGTGTAAATTCACTAATGTTGATCCTAGACCATCATCTTTTAAATACAGTGTAAATTCACTAATGTTGATCCTGGACCATCATCTTTTAAATACAGTGTAAATTCACTAATGTTGATCCTGGACCATCATCTTTTAAATACAGTGTAAATTCACTAATGTTGATCCTGGACCATCATCTTTTACAGTTTTTCTCAGTCACTTTGGTGCATTTCTCACAACACTATTTACATTTGCACAACAGTTAAAGCATTTCTCAAAACAGTTAGCACAAACAGCAAAACCTCGTTGATAACCTGCTAAAGCGTGTCACTTGCTCAAAATGATTAGCTCATTCCACAAAAGCAAGTATTGATGTCAATGAAAGTGTCAGTGTCATCAAGATAAAAAGTCCTGACGCCATTGTTTATGAACAAGATGGCTTTGTCATGGTTTCATTATGACAGTTTACTCTGTACATTTTTTCCAATGCAAAAAAATCTGATTTTTGTGACACTTTCTGAAAATGCTCAGACAGCAATAGTATTTACACAGCCATTTGAAAACTGCAGTAAAGTTAGACATCTCTGCATTTAGTGAGGTATCTGAGTACAAGACACTAAATATGTATGTTTTACATTTTTACTGCATTTGCTTTTTGCAATTCTAATTTATTCAAATTATATTGTGCAAAAGAATAAATACACCCTTATTTACAAAAAAAAACATAAACGCCCTTTGGGTAGAGCTGTGCACAACTGTAAACAATATTGCAGTACATAATGGAACTGAACCTACAAAATACACAAATCTGTAAATCCTTCATGAAATTGTTCATTTCAGGAGACATTTTCAGGAAAAAAAAAGATCCAAAGTTTTTTTGATAAAATTAGCTTGACAGATTTTGAGGACTATTAGTTTTATACGGAATAAACTCTGCTTTTAATCTAGTCAAAAAAATAAATAAATAAGACTTTACACAGAAGAAACTATACTATAGGAAATACTTTGAAAAATTCCTTCTTCTGTTCAACATCCTTTGGGACAAGTTTGAAAGAGACAACAATTTTACAAGTGGGCTAATAACTTTGACTTCATATTACAATGAATGCCATGTAGTGTGCGAAAAAGGCTTCATTTAAAGGAAACCAAAAGCTTTTATTTGTCAAAAGCACAGAGTGACAGTGAATGAGGACCCACCTGGTGCTGCATCAGAATTGAGTTGAGTGCAGGTAAGCAGAGATCCAGCAGGGGTGTCAAACTCAATTCCTGGAAGGCCGAAGCCCTGAACAGTTTAGTTCTAACCCTGCTCCAACACACTTACCTGTAGATTTCAAACAAGCCTGAAGGACTCAATTAGTTTGATCAGGTATGTTCAATTAGGGTTGGAACTAAACTGTGCAGAGCTGCAGCCCTTTTGGAACTGAGTTTGACACCTGTGCAGTATCTGGACTGCAGGTGCTCTAGAAGCTTAGTAGCAGCAGGGCATGCCAAAGTACTGCTCTCCACTTCCTGTCTGAGGAACTTCTTCCTGTTCTTCCTGTTACAATCTAAAGTCACTTAAAAAGTAGCTAAATGTGTTACTTAGATACTATTTAAGGAAAGTAATGTGAAAGTTTGTGTAATTTATTGAATTTCTTTTTTTTTTATGAGTATGGGTTTATTTTGACCTCTGCTCATTTGCAGTTATTAATCATCAAAACTTATTTTTTTATTGATGGGTTTTATTCAGTCTACTTCCCTTAATTTAATCAAAAGTGTAGATTCTGCACTGGTCATCATTACTGATCTGTGTGCGCCAGCTACAAGGTGAGAATGATTTAGCATTTATATTCTGCAAAGTGTTTTCTACAGGGGTGAATAATGCAGCTTAATTTCACAAAGCCAAGATATGTTTCTAATTATGCATTTAATTCCTATTTTGAAATAATAAATCAACTATAAATAAACAAACAACGACTCAAGCTAGCTAATGGCCACTGTGTGGACCACTGTTACTGCAGTGGTGGCCAATAATTGAATTGCCAATCAGTTTACCACAGCCTGTAATAAAGCAAATACACACCTAGAGTATGTTGTCATGTTTCCATTGTGTTTTTGTTGCTATTGTTTCTAGCTTGATAAAGAAAAAATAATGTATGATAATGTCTGCAAGATTTATTCTATTTTTTTTTCGTGTGTGTGTGTGTGTGTGTGTGTGTGTGTGTGTGTGTGTGTTATATATTCTAGAGAAGAGTTAACAGTAGCTTGAATTGGTCCCTCTGTAACTCCACATGAGCAGTAATTTTAAAGTTTCTTCTGGTCATTCGAGTGACATCTTCTGTCTGAAGCATCAGGCCAATCTTCTGCTGTCCAAAATTGGGTGGTTTGTCTTGGTCGGGCATCTCAGCTGAGACCTGTCCACTATGGGTGACCCTACCGGTAGCTGTGAAGTACCAGTGGCGTAGCTCTCAGCATCACTGATGCACACAAACCCTCACAGCACGTCAAGTTGCAAACCATGTGAGGGACCCTAACCTACCCTAACACAACAGCCAAATCTAACAACCCTATAACAACCACTAATGTGCCAAAAACCACTCAGAGGAGACCAGCAACACGCTAGAAACCGCCTACAGAGCCTTGCTACCCGCATTTCAACATCCAAATGAACCCAAGAGCCGAATATCAGCAGCACACACGATCACCAAAACATCCAGCAATGCACAGCCGCTGCTTTACCTCTAAACCTTGTTACGCCCAGTCACCTGACTTAAACACATTTGGGATCAGCTACAGTCAAGAGCACAAGTATGCCAGGTCCCTCCAGGAATGTGTGTGGAGTTGCTTGAGGAATGAACTTTGACACTTCACACAAAGGTCCTACAGTAGTATCCAGTGCGTCATAATTATGAGCATTGTGCTGGCTGCTTGAGGTACTCAGCTAGTCCAAACACTACACTGCTGAATCGCATGTTGTCAAATGTTGAATATTGTATGTTATCATTTATAGAAAGAGAAATCAACCCTTTAGCATTGTCTCCAAAATAAAGATGATGATGTTGTTGTTTCAAAAATAAAAGGGGGTCCAAAAAAAGATTTTTAGACTACTCTCCTAAGAAATGCGAGCAGGTTGTTATTAAGAGCACTAGAAAGAGGAGTTGATAGGCCTTTAACTTGAAGGATAGTTCACCCAAAAATACAAGTCTGTCATCATTTACTGACCATCATGTTCCAAACCTGTGTAACTGTCTTTGGAGCAACGTAATGGGAGACCAATTTTAAAACAAAAATAGTTCATGTAAGTGAGTTAAATGATAAATCTTCCAGATTAACTGTGAAATGACATGATTGGTTTAATATTGTGTTCTTTGTGTGCCATTAGGTTTCTTGGTCTAAAGAACAAAGTGGTTCATAAAGACAGCCAAGAGGTGGCTCAGACATCATTAGTCAGAAGAAGTCAGCAAAAGAAACCAGACAAGGCTGATGAAATTTGCCCAGTGTAACATTGAGTTTTTTTTAAAGTTCAGTTTCTCAAAATGTGTCAGAATAAGATTTGACACAAAAATTCATTCTGCTAGCAGAAACACAGAAAAAGTTGTGATCAAATTAAGACTCAAAATCACCCCCAAGTGTATAAAAGCATCCCCAACAGCACAAAATGACTAAAGACAAACAGCACAGACAAAACTCAACTGTGTTCTCACCTTTTGTCAGCTCATGCATTGCTCCATTTGGATCAAAAAGCTGCCCATGAACACACCAAACACCACAGTCAGCAGTATCGGTTTCCTGTTTCTGAACAGCAAACCCAGAACTTCCATAGCACAGTATTTAGTACCATCACAGTAATAGTCACTCACCACTGAGGGATCAGCTCCTGCAAATATGTCTGATAATCAAATTATTTATATTGTTTGCAAAAAAAAAAAAAAAAAAATAGAAACATAGTGCAATTAAAGCTGACCTCTTTGTGTTTCTTCTTGGCTTGATTTGTTTACTTGCTACTTCACATTCTAGAGCCCCAGTCAGAGCACTCTCTTCAGTCGACGGCCATGCTGAATCATCCAACATGCTCAAACATTAATCCGACTGAGTTGGGCAGCTCAGGTTTTACTTTTTTTTGGACACAATTCAGCTTACCAGCCAGGCTGGTCAAATCTAGCCATGAAACCTCCAACTCCAACAATATTGCAAAAACTAAATTTACTAAATACAATTTTAACTCAAATGTAAATATATATATTTTTTGTTTCTCCTGATTTTCCCTCTTTATTAAAAATGCATTTAATATTTTTCCTAACATTTTTATTTGGGTGTAATAATTTTTGGAGCTTCTTTTAAATTATTTTGCAAAGCTCCAGGTATGGCTTTGGTGAGTAATTTATATGCACAAATATAATAGCATCCTAGAAAATATTCATTTAAAAGAGGGATCTTTCTCTGGGTTTAATCATATATTTTATATATATATATATATATATATATATATATATGTTTTGTTATTACAGACATGAACTTAATCAATATTTGTATGTAGGCTATGTTATTTTTATTGTATGTCTGTTACTTTTATTGTCTACATGTAGGTTTATCGAACATTTTAACATTTAAGTTTTTTAAGTATGTTAGTCATGCAATAGCCTATTATTAGATATACAATGTTTATTAAGTTTTTTGTACTTTATTTGTTTACATAAATAATGATATTGATATAATTATATAAGATAGCCTATTGTGTAATTTAAAAAATATGCTGGGATACCAATGAGCAAAACGTTGGTATTTTCCTTGGAGACTGTGGTAATGTGGAAACGCTCTGTGTTTATACATATATTTTAAACTTGACCAATGCTCAACCATAGACTGTGCTCCACACTGGATCATGCATGAAATGATATTGCATCCCCTTTAAAGAATTTTAAAGCAAAGGTGTTATGACGTATAAAAAACAGAAGATGGCAGTAGTGCAACATGAAGAATGCAAGGTAAAACACGAAAGAAGAAGAAGAAGATCAGCTCATCTGTTTTGGCAGCACGTTTTTTCTACAGCGGGAGTGTTTTAATTCCGGTGTCTTCAGCTTTTGAGCTATGGAACGTTAGTGTTAAATTGGTTTTACTTTTGTCATGATCATTTTAATGTTGGGTTGCTGAATGTGTTTGTTTTGCAGTTTATCGATACTGTTTTTCTGTGAAATTTTATTCTACTCATTACAAGAGGATGGTCTGTCGTAATTTTATGTATGCTAACGTTATATTTTTCACAGGTGTGCTGCAGTCAGAAATCCCCTCAGATCAAAGTCATCTTTTGGGAGTTGAGGTGATGTATGTTCAGTATTGTTAACCATCATTTACCAGTTTACTCGCAGTTAGACACCGCATTTAATCAGCTTTATTTATTAACCATCTGTTATTGCATACATTATGCTGTAAAGAAGTGTGTCAGTTTGCATTTAGTAAAAATAATGTACAGTGTTACTTGGCATATATAACTTTTATATTTAGTATGTCTCTTGAGGTTTAAGTTTCTTTATTTTTCTTTTTTATTTAGCCTACTATAAAGATGTGTTGTATTACTTATGAAATAAACAACTACCACTTAAAATATTTCTATTTTTATTTATATTTGTATATTTTTGACCTCAGATTTGGCTCTTTATATAAAGGAAGCATAGACTACGTTAGCATGTATATCAGTAATCAAATTAACTCCCCTAATCTGAAAATAATAATAATATGATGGTGTTTATATGAGTTGCTTTTCTGAATGTTCCTTTCATGATCCCGTTTTTTTCTTCTTTTCGTTTTATAGCACATAATTCGATAAACATCATTGCATCACCACACTTTCCACATTTTCTCTAGTTTCATGTCTCTTTGGGTGTTTAATTAAACATTTTTCGCCTTAAAGTCTACGTTCATGTATGAAGCATGCATGAAGCTGGTTCTTCACTGACTCTATAGGTGTAGAGAATAGAAAATATACAGAAAGTCCTACATGACAGTAATAGTTTGATTTGAGTGTTTACATGTATGTTCTGCACTTCAATAATGCTACTAAATCAGCGTTATCCACATGTTTTAATTCGATTTCTGTTTAGCACTGTTATGACCATAATTTGATTAAGTGAATTAAAAAATTGCTGTTTATATGGTAGACTCTTAATCTGAGTATTGTCTTAATCTTATTGAAATCAGATTATTGGTGTCCATGTAAACACACTTGTAGAGAGGAACAATTGAAGAGTTTAAATGCAAAAACCTCTTAGGTGCTATCAGAAATTTTCATCTAAAATGAGCATTTTTCTCAGGCTGTTGTGTGTAGTTTCAGTAATTTTACTCTGTGTTGAAAGAATAAGTTATTGTCATTGCCTTTTAAAGTGAAATAACTCTACTTAAACATAGGAGGCTGAGAAAAATGCACATTTTAGAGAGGAAAATTTCAGACTACGCAACACTTTTTGCATCTGAACTCTGTTTATGTACATTTTTGTTCATTTAAATAAAAAGTGTAGTAAATTGCAGTATTTACTCAGATAATGCTGCTTAATCAAAAGAAAAACTTTTTCTTTCTAAAGGGCGTCATACACCGGATGTGGCGCAACACCGTGCGCACATGGCAGTGGAAAGTATCGCACACCAGATGCGCACGTTCGCATGCTATTCAGTGTCCTGAGTCATAGGTGGGCGCTGCTGACAGCCCCCGACTTGCGACACTGGTGTGCATACCTAATCTAATAGAAACCTATGTTTAGAATTATAAAATGCATGGCGCTACATGGCGCGGCACTTCTGGTGAGTGACCCCCTTTACTCATTCTCAGTGTTTACATATACTGTAGGCCAGGGGTGTCCAAATTCAGTTCTGGAGGGCCGGTTTCTGCATATTTTTGTTCTAACCCCAATTAAACACACATGAACCAGCTAATCAAGCTCTTTCTAAGTATACTACGCACTTGAGGCCGTAGTAATAAAGAACTGTAGTAGTAAAGAATTAGAACTTCCTCTCTCTTGTTTAAAGGCTGTCCAAAATATGCAGTGCTTCTGCTTTTCTTTTTAATTTTGCAAGCTCCTTTGAATTTTGCTTGATTTTGTGTTAAATTAATTGTGTTAAATCTGTTATCAGTCGCAGCATTACAACATCCCAGAGGGACTGACTAATGCTGATAAATTCACACTGTATGATGTACAGAAATTTTGCAAACCAGTGAACTGTGGAATGTGGCTTTTTACAGTCTCAACATGGCACAGATGCAGAGGCTTTCACAAAAGCATTTGTCAAGAATAGCATTCCCCATATGAAAGACGCAGCTATCGAGGATATGATGGCACGCAAGGCAGTGGTCCTGGAATATAAAAGACCAAAGAAAAAGGTGAAGAAGGTAAAAGCCAAGGGACTGAATGCCAAAGAAAGAAGACGGCTGCAAATATTCCAGCTTAAGCCTGAACATCAAAAGTGGGTGTTGGAGGTTTCATTATAGCTTGATTCTTACACTTATAGAAATGTATTGTGTTTAAAAGTTCTGCTTATTGTATGATTCTGATTGTAGATATGAACTCTTCTTACCTCTGCATAAGCTGTGGAAAAGCTATATTGAGGATCTGTGCAATGGATTGAAACCAGGAAGGTATAAGGAAGATGCTCTTCAGAGTTTTAGGCTTGTGGATATTTCATTTCCAGTCTTGCTTACACTCCCTGAATGTGCTGCTTGCTTGTGTCTTCTGAATACAGCAACCCACAGGTGATCCAGCAGAAGCTCTTGAAAGCTGATTTCCATGGTGCTATATTAACAGGTACGCCGTCATGCACATTTGGAAATGTCAACCCACAAAGGCACATTTTGTAGTTCAGCTGCTGTATTTCCAGAATTTCCATGTAAGGGGGATATTTTGGGCGTATGGAGAACCTCATGATTTCACTCTCATTTTTCTGCCTTCTAGTTGTCAGATCGAAATGCCCTTCGTATGTGGGTCTAACTGGCATTCTTGTACAGGAACTGAAGCACATCTTCAAACTCATTACAAAAGAGGACAAACTAAAAGGTATTTATGTTGTGTAATGTGTGTGACGTTTAAATGAAATGAGTGAGCATGTGCATACTGCAGCCAATAATCTGATTGTTGCATTTATAAAAATCTTTTTAATGTTTTGACATATTTAAACTAGAGGTGTAATGGATCACAAATCTCATGGTTCGGATCACAATAGGTGTGTTCGATTTTAAAACACAGCTGCAGCCGGTGATCAATGACATTAGTGGAGCGGAGGTGGGGGCAGAGTTGAAAATGGAGCCGACAAGCACTTCGGGGCTCAAAGTTGTGGCTGTCATAATAACCAATCACATGGCATTATCATTATTTATTTATCACAACAAAAGATTTACAGTGCAAATAAAACAGAGAAGAGTCTCTACAAACAAGTTTATTTTTAAACAATAAGTGAATTATGAATTAAATAAAATTTCCCAGAAAGAGCTAGATACATCAATGTGACTTTTAAAATTTGTGCATAAATAGCCTGGTTACATTGCATCTACCTGCTAACTAATTCTCATTAGTTTGTAAGTAGACTGTTAGGTTAGGGTTAGGGTTAGTGTAAGTTGAAATGTGTTTGCAAAGTTTCTTATACTCAAATGGACCATCAAAATAAAATAAACCTTTTATTACAAGTCTGTGAGACTTATTTGAGTTAATATTTAGGTTATTCACTAAAATAAATCATTTAAATCATTCATGGAGCTGATTGCAGTAAATAGTCTGTATAAAAAAAGGTCAAAAGTAAACCTGTGCAAACAATCCAGCCTTTAGAAACAAATTATTCAACAAAAGGTGATACTGCAGTAAAATATTTGTGTTTTTTTTATAAGAATGATATATACAAGGGAGAGATGGTATGAAAATTAATTGTTTGTTTTAAAATTTGTGAGAATTTCTCTAGTAATAAACCCGAAACACGTGGTTGTTGTCATGCAGTGAATTCAGCCAATCATGTAATATCGGTGTCATTGTCGCAGCTCCTGCAGTTGCTCTTCATACACCGCACTGACTGAGTTTGCTGACTGATCTCGGAGCACTGTAGAAGTACTTTGATGCCACGTGAATGTCAGACAAAATTTCTAACCGAAAGGCACCGCTTTAATACTAAGGTCTGTGTAGCAATGCATGAAGTCGAACGCACTTATTATGGTTGCATAGTCATGGATCGGACCATTTTTTGGATCAGCCAAAAAGGGGAGGAGACAAATGTCATTTTGCTTTCCATTTGTTACAAAAACAGTACTGAAAGACTCTTGGTTTTAACAAACAGAAATTAGAACCTGTAATTTATTAAATAAAATAAAGAAGTAATCAGAAAAAATCTTATTTTCAATAAATGATTAGGTTATTCACTCAAACTTCATTTGTCTTTGCTAGATGTGTCATTTTTGAAGAATTATTCAGTGGCATATTTTTGATGGCCTCCTATAGGTTAAATAATGAAATTGCTGCCTACAACTTTCATGACGGTGATTTACATTTTTACCATAAACATCAGTGATTTTATCTACAATATAGACTGTAATCCCAGTATTTTCTGTTTTTTATTTGACTGTTGCCTGGGTGTTCCCTATCCCCAAGATCCCAATCTTTTAATAATTAATCGTGCAGCTTACACTAAATGCATTAATGTAGGCTAAACGGGTAGTGACAGAAAACACCTTTAATGACACCCACCATATCCCAAATAACCTGCCACAACTTCTTCTTTCATCATTATATTTAACAGGAAAGCCTAAATGCTTTCATACATGTAATTTGAATGATCCAAGACGTGATCTATCTTCAATCGTTACAAATTCAGGATTAATCTACCATTAAAAAAAATGTATTAATCTGCTGGCCACATGTGTTCCAAACCGTGGTGTTATGATTGTTATTGGTGATTGTGATTCGTTACACCCCTAATTTAAACCTATTTCATGGATGTCTTCTTATGTTCAGTGCAAGATAAGCACTGTGGAAAAGCTTTCATTTGTTGCTAGATCTTGCTAGATAAAAATCAGCAAACAAAACCATGCCATTGATCAACAAAAATAAATTAAGTCATTTAGATTAAAAATAAAAAACAAATATGACAATCCACTTTAGATGTGTCATAATATTACGCCCAACAACATTCTAGTTAAGAGAACATTGTGTTTTTCAGCCTTTCGCTACAAAACACATCTTTCTGCTTTTAGGCGGTTTTCTTAAAATCCTGGAATAAATGTTTTTTTACTAGTAATATTTCTGTTAATATAATGGATACCAGATGACAGTGTTGCTAATAGTCTATTTTATAAGTGAGAAAAGTGATATGTAAAATGACTTATTAAATGATAAATTTAAGTTTTAAAAATCCTTTGACTTTCAGTTGTGGTAGTCCCATAGACTGTAAAATATATGGACGTAGTATCCGTGACGTCATCCATAGGTTTCTGAACATTGCAAAAGAAGCTACAAGTAGGCGCGTCTTCGCACTCACGGCGGGATACCAAACAAGGGCAAAGAGGATGAGAGTGAATGGAGCTAAAGACACCTGCTGGCATTTAGCTTGGACCTTGCTTAGACAGACTTTACTTTGCGAGAACACTTGATACTTCATTACCTGTGACTCGTTTGTCTTCTGACCACATGTGCTTGGTTGTACACTATATCCATAAAGTGTTTAGACTTTTAAAAACACTGTTGTACCACATTGAGCCACTAAGCATCGTTCTTGTGACGTTTTTCTACAGGAGAAAAAAGCAAATTATATGCTTTTGTATGACAATATTTCAGATGACTGTTCTAGAGCCTTCAGCTAATCAATCTGTCAGATTCTGGAGTGCTTTACAGGTCTAAAGAACATTTATAAATGATAAATAATCTCAAATAAGACCAATGCATTTATAGAGTTGGTATAAGTATAGAATTTCACCCACGTGAATGGTTTGTGAGCACAATAAAGTGAAGACAGCATGCAATATCACCTGACAATTGTAAGAAATAATTCCAAAAAGCAATTGACTGTGTAAAGCCACATAAAACAAAAATACGATGTATATCCCGAGTTCAGCACCTAATCTGCCGGAGTCAGCTGAGGTGAAGTGACGGTGACCAGCGAGACCTAGCTGTCACTCAAGTGGCCACGCCTTAATTATGCAGACTTAATATAACCTAATATAAACGAAACGCATGAGTTATATATAAATTCAGCACCTTCACAGTTGTCATGAAGGGTAGTCATAGCTATATGAACCAAAGTTGTTCTTTAAACACCCTTTTTTTCTGCTGTAAAGTTGGCCATTCTAATAGTGGGCTAAATTGAAATTTGCTCCAAATGGAGCAATGCGGAATTTCAATAAATTGCAGCTTCAGTTACTTCCGTATTGGCTTCCCGAGGGAGAGCGGGAGATTGCCGCTTGGGTAGTCCTCAACATAACATTATTAAAATTTAATTATTTAAATAAAATAAAAATTTTAATGGACTCTTTTCACAAGCCTTTTATGAGGTGTTTAACGGTCATCATAATCTTAAATCCTTGAAAGTTTGAACATGTAATGTATTTATGAATGTATTATAACATCTTTGCATCAAATTACAAAAAATGAATTGCCTCTTACGTGAGGTGTTTCTAATGCAGCATCTATGGAGCTGAGAGTAAATTTGACGTTATTCTCTCATCTGGCAGCCGTCATCAGTCTCACACTATTTTTTTCTTTCTGAAAGTCTTGACAACACCACCAAGGAGTGTTTCTCTTATTTCAGCTAATAGGAATGTAAAAAAAATATATGTGTTTTACTCTCCTATTCACTGCGCTTTTAAGTTTACCCAACTATGAAGTCTTCTGCTACTGAGAAACCTGGAAATGGGAAAAAGGTCTATTGGTCAAACTTCATACTAGGCCTGTTGTGGTGCACCAATATTTGATGTCAACCACAATATTTCCAAAATTAAATACTTATACTATGTTTTCTATAATATAACTCATCCCCAGTAACATGTTATTTATATGAATTTGATCGATTGCATTATATATAGCTTGTTTTCTTTATAGATATCACAGTGATATATTTGGTTTTTTTGGCCCTAAAATCTGACAGTATAATTTTAAAGTAATCAACTTTTTTGTTAACACAAGTGACAAAACTCCAGGAGACCACTACTTTCATCATATTTTATGATATTTATTTGCCATTTTTGTTATTTACATCAAATATTTGATTGTTTATGAATGTTACTGTATTTTGAATGATGGAAAAACATTCCCTCTGTGATCAGATATAGTCCAGACTAAAAAAAAAAATAATCATCTTCCTCAGTCTACTCCCAGTCATTAGGCACCTTTCACAACCTCTTTTTACCAAATGAATGCGTCTTGTAGATTAACTTTTTCCCCACTCTTGCTCCTTTTCCAGTTATACCAAAGAGGAACAGTGTGTTCAGTGTGGAGGTTGGAGGTTTCGTTTCTCACATCTATGGCAGCAAGTTTGAACTGCGCTCCAGTGAGCGATCAGCCAAGAAATTCAAAGTCAAAGGGACTATTGACTTGTAACGGACCACATTCACATTGTCATCTTTAACTAGTGTCTTCTACTGGAGCCCAAGATCCAGTCAGTATTCATTAATCATGTCATTTATTTTGTTTTTAATCTAAGGAAAGATTTTATTTCCATCGCTTATATCTGTAAAACTAGATTCCTTTAATGTCCACAAGGGGGAGACATTCACCCCACCCATTTTTTTTATTTTCTTTTTTGTAGAGCAGGAACAAGGAAATTCAGCCAATTCATTTTTTTTATATTTATGAGCTCATTTATTTAACTAAAACAAAGGCAGGACTGTAAATACTTTAAATAAAGAAATACAATACAAAGCAATACTTTGTCTTTAAGAGCATGTTTAAAGCTTCCTTTTAATGTCTTTATGACAGTACATCCTCACTTTACATCTGTTTATTGTGTATATTTAATTACCAAAGTACATTTAGAAGCTGTGTTTATAGAGTTTAGTTTTGGGGAAAGGTGATGGTGATAGCTGGTACACCCAATCAATTTTATTTTTTTATTTTTTATTTGATAGAAGTAAAATCCTGCATACAGTGCAATAGTGGCTCAAACATGTAAAAGTAATGCGTCCTGTTGACTGAACACAGGTCTTATACACTTCTGTTCTGGGTCAAATGGTAAATGCAAGAACTGTCAGTGTTTTTAGTTAAGTTAGTCAAACTGGCAATAAAACTTGCAAGAATTTATTAGTGATGCAATACAGGGTACATTAATGCAGACGATCACTAATACTCTACCTTGAAAGCATACACTAGAATTTACATGCGTCTCTTAAGGTTTGAGCAGTGTGTCATGATTTATGAGTGGTTGCATCATAATTGTGCATCATCAATATGCTAAATCGGAACACATTTGTTTTTATGAGCACTTATGATTCATGTTCTTAAAGCATCTGTAATTAGCAATGTACAGTGCTCAGCATAAATGAGTACACCCCATTTTGCTAATTAATATTTTTATTAATTTGTCAGTAAATGTAGGTCATATTTTGGTGCATTTGACTAATTTATTAAATGGATATATTTATTTAAATAATATTTTAGTAATCAAACACATTTAGAAATTTAAAGATATTTTTAAAGATTCATGCAAAATGTTGGAAAACAATATTACAAACTACAACATTTTTAAAATTTAAGTTTTTCTTGAATTTTGCTCATTTTAAATGCCTATATATATATGTGTATATATATATATATATATATATATATATATATATATATATATATATATATATATATATATATATATATATATATATATATGCTTCAGTACTGACTAATGTATAAGCATGCACAAATACATTATTATTATTTTAAAGCTTCCTATTGTAAATATTAATTTAAATAAGACATTTGTAAGCGTTGTACTTGTATATGCTGAGCACTGTAAATGTTAAATCCAAAGACAGATTAAAAAAAAAAAAAAGTACTATAATGAACTGAATGTCGAACCTGAAATTTGCACAAACTTATTGTTGGAAAAATTAACTTTTAAACATTTTAAAAATGTAGCTTGAATAATGTTTAAATGGCAATCTTGCGAAATATTATCTCCTTTATTTGGATAAAGTCATCTGCTTAATAAATAAATGTAGACATTTTTCCAGACTGAGGTTCTCAATCAGAAACAAAAATATAACGAGAAGCAATTCCTCCCACAACACTTCTATGTCTTTACTTTAAACAGATATACATTTTAAAGTGCATAAAAGTTCAACTTTGCAATGTTTTCATTAACAATAATAAAAACACTCCACACAATATGCTTCTCTTTCTGTCATCTCTCACTAAAAAGTACCAAAAGTGCCTCCATTGTGTTGATATTAGGAGCAAACATCCATCCACACTTTACCTATTGTTCCTACTCACTATATCCATCCATTATTTGAGGTTCAGTTTCTATTGGTTGAACTTTCCAGTTTCAAGCAACATTGGTAAGCACCGCATAATACTTATTGTAATGCAATCTAGGTTGTCCTTGTTTAGAAAGCTGCATGTAATGTCATTCTAGAAGGACTATCTTAAAGATTTAAAGATATAGTTCACCCAAAAGTGAAAACGGTCATCGTTTACTCGCCACTGAATTGTTCCAAACCAGTTTGACTTATCTGCTTTTCCTTGTCGTTATTGAGCACAAAGTTAGATCCATGAATTTTAGAAAACTAATAACTATTGATACTTATTACAAGAAAAACAAATACTATAGAAGTCAATGGTTACAAGTTTTCAACATTTTTTAAAAGATCACTTTTGTGTTCAACAGAAGGAAAAATAAACCGGTTTGGAACAAGTCAAGGGCAATTATATGCTTGCAGAATATTCACTTTTTGTGAACTATTATATTAACATTTTTGATGTTTTCATTTGTGATTAACAAAAGCTCCATTTTAAAATACACTGAGGGGAGATGAATACAATGTTTGAAGTTATGTGGTTCTTTTTAAGTGAAGTGTGTAATCCTTGCCCACTTGCGAAACAAGGAACTTTTTTTTTTTTTTTTTTTTTTTTTTTTTAAAGTAAAAGGTGCTCTGGTGAATTGAATTGAGCTTTCCCTTATGTGACTGATTGACACATCTTCTGGTAATGCAGGGATTCCCCTCCCTGCTAGATACACCACACAGTGTCTCCTTTATTTTAATTTGTTTGTTTTTATATATAACTTTATAATTGTGGCTTAGAAAGAACTCTTAATTTATTTAATAGTTCGTACTGATTATAGCACAGATTTCTGAAACAGAGTTTTAAGTTATGTAAGCTAATTTCACCATACCAGAGTGAATTTACCAATCTGTTGTAATGTCTTTTATGAGAAAAGAGGTCCCTTACATTTAATGCCTCTTCCTGTTAAGAAAACAGTGTAAGACAGACTTTGCTAATAGGCATGTGCACTTCCTCTGAGTCTTATTTGGTAGCCTATTAGTTGTAAAATGAATCTCACTGTATATTAAATACACAAGCAAACTCTAACTAGTCTGTTGTTTTCATGCAGCCTTGTTTCTCTCTAAAAAAAACTTGTTAAGCGGGTTATGCCTCACCCAGTGGGTTTTCCAATCACAGTTCTGCTGTTGTTATGAAACTATCGCTTGATAAATCAGATAATGAAGTTCTCAATTATCTGTGCTCCTCATGTTTATCAGATAAACAAATAGAGACTTATTTGCTCTCTTCATCCCACATTTTTAAAAATTGTAAATGGGCATGTTCAGTTTAAAAAAAAAAAATAATGATATGAATGATAATATCTGTCTTCGTTTCCATTTGCTTTCGTATAATTTTTTTTTTATTGTGCATATATTGCTTGAGTGCAGCTTAATGACAGTAATGTGAAAATTATAGTATACATTTGACTAGTATTTTTTTTCTACATCTGCTTCTTTACTGGTACATGGGAGCTTTGTGCAGAGGGTTTCAGCGTTTATTTGACCATTTTTATGTACGCAATTCATGTGTCAATTTTATTTTTGTATTATGTAAAAACTAAATGTATATTGGAAAAATGCATACAAATCATCTAAATTCACAATATCTAATGCCTTTTTATTGTTAAGTATTTTGTTGCACATCATCTTATGTTTCCCACAACGGTTGCCCTTGATGTCCACTTTTTGAAGATATAACTGTTCCTTTAGATTAACTTTCCGTAATTAGCAGTTGCCTACTTAATTTTAGTTAAATTAGCTATTTTATTAATTAGTTTAAATGAGCTTTAGCCTTTACTTTCCAGTAAAGAATATTAACTTATTAGTTTTATGCATGATTTTATGTGAACTAATGCAGCCAATTGGACTAGCGATTGAATCAGACTCGATGATGTCACTTCAAAACCTTTTTGTTTTCATGTGTGTATTAATACACTGTCAAAATATCCTGGTTGCCCTAAATTTTTAAGCTGAATCAAATTAACCCTATGAGTCCATTGAACTTGTATTATGTTAAACTGATTTAAAGCAGCTTGCATAAGTTATAAAATTGTTAAAACATGACCAAGTTTAATAAGTTACAATGGTCTAAAAACATGCTGTCAGGACAAATTGATCATGTAATTTTTTTCAGCGCACATACTGAGTATTCATCCAAGTTTGCCAGTCAATAACAAGGAAGGCTAAACCTCTAAAAAAAGTAGAGCAGATCTGGAAATTCCCCTTTGTAAACAGGAAAGACAACCTGTGGCAACAGTATAAAAGGACGTCCACCAGCCTGCAAAGCAGAAGGAGAGATTTGTAGAGCTGAACACTGAGGATTATTTTACAGTAGCTTGTAAAACGAAGAAACCATTCCACACCCAACAATAATTGACTGCTTTCCACGGAAATCAGGTATTTGTTAGCTCTCTTTTCAAGATTATTAAAGAAAATATATGATTGTCATGTGTAATATAGTCTATATTATATCATTAGGTGTAGGTGACATAACTTTACTTGACCCTGTTGGTTTGAAAGCACTGGTATTTTCAATTGTATAACACTGAACCAAACTCAACTTTTCCTTGACATTATTTTGTTCTTCTGCAGGCTGCAGCAATGGCAGAACACTTGGCTTTTACCATTCAGAACCGTGAGCGAATCCAAGCAGTAGAAAGCTCGTTTGGCCGCACCGGAAAGATGCTTCAAAAACCCGGCCGTTTTCTTGTCGGAGAGGGGTGTTTGCAGAAACTTTGCCGACGTGGTCCTCAACCCAGAGTCTTCTACCTCTTCAACGACATCCTGGTGTACGGGAGCATCATGCTGCACGGTCGCTGGAACAATAAGCAAAACATCATTCCTTTAGAAGAGGTACAGCAGGAAGATCTGGAAGACGGGATGGCCATGGCGAACCAATGGCTCATCCGAACACCTCGCAAGTCTTTCTACGTCTCTGCTGAATCCCCAGAGGAGAAAATCGCATGGATGGGCCACATTGAGCAGTACAGGACACTCCATGTGAAAAATAAAGGCCTTCCTGCGAAAAAAAGCGGAGATGACTTCGCGACACCGTGGATCCCTGATGTGGCTTCGGCCATCTGTATGCGTTGCTCCAAACGATTCACCGTTGCTAATCGGAGGCACCACTGCAGGAGATGCGGGTATATAGTATGTCAAGCTTGCTCAAAGGGCCGAGCCGTGCTGCCACACATCTCTAACAGACCTGTGAGGGTTTGCCGAAATTGCAAGAACGACATGACAGACGGAATGAGACAAGTACAGGGGAAGATGAGAGCAAAGGGAAATCACTGGAAGAAGAACTCCGTCGAGGACACACCGACAATGCCGGAGTTTGAGAACTCCAGTGATGAGGAGAATGAAAACGCAGACGAGTGCCACCAGGTGCCCACCAAGTGGTTCCAGAGCCAGGAGGAGGACAGTTTCTCTGCGTACTGTTACATTAAGCCCGAGCACAGAAATCCTCCGGTTGGTGGACACTAAACTAGAGAAACTGCTGTTATAAGGACTGATAGAAAACTGTGAAGTATTTTGCACTAAATCATATTGAATCACTGTTTGCACGTGTGTCTTTGTTTTGTATTTGTTTGTATATTTGAATGGATATTCTATTTCTGTTGTGTGTCCAAATATGTTGTATTATAGCTGATGTATAAAACAATGTGCCTTACTGTGGTGAGCATTAATAAAGTGTTATTATAAAATACTTTCTGTCTGTTAAATACACACACACACACACACAGTTCCCCCATAGCAAAATTGCTCTGGCCCACACTATCAGCATTTGCTTGGCCCACATGCTGCAGTGAATTACGGTACATGACTGGACCAAGTCTGGCTTCCATACAAGTGGCAAACATGGACCATATATGGGCTTAGTCTCAGCTAAGTTAATAACCCATAACTGAGCCAGATATGTTGGTGTGTCACAACTGTTTTTTATAAACCCATGAATCATTTCGCTTTATGGCTGTGCTTTTTCACGAAGCGACCTGATAGATAGAATTGTTTTTTTGCTCAAAAATAATGTTTGGCCCACATGCTGTATGCCAGAGCCGGACGAATGCCTGCTGTGCCAGCTTTATGCCAAATCTGGGCCAGAATTCTTTGCTACCTGGGTTTTGTGACAGAACATTAATAACAATACATTCATTATAGCATTTATTCATCTTTGTTAATGTTAGTCATTAATGAAAATACAGTTTATTAGCCCCCCCTACCCAAAAAAAATATAATAATCTTACCATTTATTCATAATCAAATGAGTTTTAAAACTTGAAAAAAAGATATTCTGGAGAATGTAAAAAAAACACACTGACTTCGATAGTAGGAACAAAAGTATATGGAAGTAGTATATTCTTTCAGAAAATCTTCATGTTCAACACTTAAACTCAAACAGGTTTTGAAAAAGTGGAGGATGAGTAAATGACAATTATTATTTTTGGTGAACTATCTCTTTAAATAATGTTAACCAGCACAGAGTTGGTTTTGAATCGTGCATTATGCTGTATTGCGCATTCTTAATTCATGCTGTATAAAGGTTAATTGAGCATTAAACAATGTGACTCGGTAATAATCAAAAATATTCATTCATTCATTTTCCTTCGGCTTAATCACAAATTTGTCAGGGGTCACCACAGTGGAATGAACCACCAACTTATCCAGCATATGCTTCACACAGTGGATACCCTTCCAGCTGCAACTCTACTGGGAAACACCCATACACTACGAACAATTTTGTCTGAGTCACTGTGCTCCAAATATTCTGTTAACACAGACATTACATTTTATAAGTGTCTTGAACAATAGACACCACTTTCTGCTGTTAGACTTATGACATTTAAAAGTGGGATTGTTTGTTATCCAAGTAGACAATGACATCATGCTGTGTTATATAAAGTAAATGACTGTTTCCAGGAAGTGATTTTTAGTGTTTTTTTCAAGCCTACAAATCTGGCTATGTACTTTCCAGTTAACACTTTTCACACAGTTTAGGGTACAAATATTTTAACTGTACGTGTGTTAAAAAATGGTCCCACTTTATATTAAGTGTCTTTGTTTACTACAATGTACTTAAATCAAAATATAAATACAATGTACTAAATGTGTTGCAGGCATGTGTAAGTTTGAGGGTGGGTTAATGTGTAAGGGATGGTCAACAGTGTGATAGAAATTAATTAAGGATGTAATTAAATCCAGGTATTTAATCAAGCATAAGTACAATTTTAAAACATGTATTTTTGCAACAACAAAAAAGTACATTGTAATGAATTATTAATTTCAGCTTAAGCACATATTATAAGTTAAGGCCACTTAATAAAAAGTTGGACCAAAAGCATATGTTAATTTTTATTTGAAAAAAGCAAAACACTTTATTTTCTATTTACTTAGAACATATCAATCAACAATAATTAACTGAACATTAACTGACGTATTAAATATAAAAAGACGTGTAGAGTTAATAAATGCTCAATTAAGTTAATAAATATTACGTTTTTCACCCATTAAACCTTCTTGTAACTTTCTTCTCTCATACTAAAAAGTAAACCAGTTCCTTGATTCCTTGACACATGAAATTGCATAAAAGGTAAAGTTCCACTACATTTTCTACGTTTGTTTTTCTACGAATTATCAGTTCTTCTTTCAGAAATGTATGGTGTAATCTTTCAGTAACTATGACTTTCTTTTTTGGAACATGAATGGAAATTTGTGAGTAATTTAGTTTAAACAATGGAGCTTCATGTGTGTTCTTAAAAAACCACAACAATCTTTTGTTTTCCAAGTTATATTTTTGAGTCAAATGTAATGTGAGGTGACAGTGGCTCAGTGGTTAGCTCTATCGCATTAGAGCAAAAAGTATGGTTTGAGTCCCGGCTAGATCAGTTGGCATTTTTGTGGGGAGTTTGCATGTTCTCTTCGTGTTGGCGTGGGTTTCCTCCGGATGCTCCGATTTCCCCCACAGTCCAAAGACCTGGTATAGGTGAATTGGGTAAGCTAAATTGGCTCTAGTGTTTGTGTGTGGATGTTTCCCAGTACTGAGTTGCAATGTGTAAAACATATGCTGGAAAAGTTGGCGGTTCATTCCGTTGTGGCGACCCCAGATGAATAAAGGGAATAAGCTAAGAGAAAATGAATGAATGAATGAATTTTGCCACTGTGTAATATTGCAGACTCATGAATGAACAAGCAATTTATACAAGTTGAAATTCTAGATGATAAACTTACAGCTGAAAGCAAATTATTAGCTCTCCTTGAAATTTGAATTCTGTTTCAAATGTTTCCCAAGTGATGTTGTAAAAGAGTAAGGACATATTCACAGTTTCCTATATATACACTAACTGAGAAAAGTCTTGTCGGCTAGCCAAGTTTTAGAAACAACAAATAATAATTTGACTTCTAGTTGATCATTTGGTATCAGAAGTGGCTTATATGAAGGGTAAAGGCCTTGATTACACTTATTTTACCTAAATTAAATATGATCATGCCTTGATCATCAATTATTTAATTAGGACTGTAAGGTCTGACTTTGCTTAGGCAAAAGTCTTGTCACTTAACAAAAACAATATAGAATATAAAGTCATGGTGCAGTGGAGGAAGAATTGATATTGTGTATGACTCCCATGTGCTTGGAGGACTGCATCCATACATCTCTACAATGATTAAAATTACTTTATTTAAGTACTTATATTACTTATATAATAAAGTCATCTGGAATGGCAGAGAAAGCGTTCTTGCAGGACTCCCAGTTCATCAAGATTATTTAGATTCATCTTCAATGCCCCCTCCTTCATCTTACCCCAGAAATGCTCAATAATGTTCATGTCTGGTGACTGGGCTGACAAATCCTGTAGCACCTTGACCTTCTTTGCTTTCAGGAACTTTGATGTCGAGGCTGAAGTATGAGTAGGAGCGCCATCCTGCTGTAGAATTTGCCCTCTCCTGTGGTTTGTAATGTAATGGGCAGCACAAATGTCTTGATACCTCAGGCTGTTAATGTTGCCATCCACTGTGCAGATCTCTCGCACACCCCACACTGAATGTAAACCCAAATTATGATTTTTCCTTCATCAAACTTGACTGATTTCAGTGAGAATCTTGAGTCCATGCTGGTTCCAGTAGGTCATCTGTAGTATTTGTGATGATTGGGATGTAGTTCAACAGATGATTCATCAGAAAAATCTACCTTCTGCCACTTTTCCAAATGATCAACTTGAAGGCAAGTTATTATGTTGCTCTTACAACTGGGATTGACAACAAGACTTTTGTCAGATAGTATATATATATATATATATATATATATATATATATATATATATATATATATATATACAGTTGAAGTCAGAATTAGAATTATTAGCCCCCTTCGATTTTTTTTTCTTCTTTTTTAAATATTTTCCAAAAGATATTTAACAGAGCAAGGACATTTTTACAGTATGTCTGATAATATTTTTTCTTCTGGAGAAAGTCTTATTTGTTTTATTTCGGCTAGAATAAAAGCAGTTTTGATTTTTTTTTTATGTACCATTTTAGGGACAAAATTATTAGCCCCTTTAAGCTATATTTTTTCTCGATAATCTACAGAACAAACCACTGTTATACAATAACTTGCCTAATTCCCCTAACCTGCCTAGTTAACTTAATTAACCTAGTTAAGCCTTTAAATGTCACTTTAAGCTGTATAGAAGTGTCATAAAAATATCTAGTAAAATATTATATACATTCATCATGGTAAAGATAAAATAAATCAGTTATTAGAAATGAGTTATTAAAATTATTATGTTTAGAAATGTGTTGAAAAAATCTTGAAATTGTGTTGAACTTGGTTATTAAAACTGTTACATTTTAAAATGTATTGGAAAAAAATCAGCTTGTCTTGTGAAATATTTTTAATAGAATTAATAGTTTTTCTTCAGATGTGTGTTGTGATCAAAAATATGTAATATAGATAACATTTAAATACCTATTGCAAAGCAAGTCTTTAAAGCATGTTGGAAATTTATTACATTCGTTTTATGGTTATATGTGAATACATAGAAATGAATAATTATTGATTTGTATTGTTTAGACTACTTCCGTGTTGTGTTTCTGATCTGAATGTGTGACGTGCTGAAATTCCCCACACAGGTTAACCTGAAGACAACAACATTTCCAACATAGAAGCATTTAACGGGAAACATTTACTCGCCCTTTACTTGTTTTAAATCTTTATGAGATTCTATCTTCTGTTAAACACAAAAGGATATATTTTGAAAAATGTTGCAAACTTGTAACTATTGTCTTCCATAGGATTTGTTTATCATATGGGAGTCAATGGTTCCAGTTTTTTTTTTTTATGTATTATGTTCAACAGAACAAAGAAACTCACAAACGTTTTAAGCATGTAAAGTGTGAGCAATTTGAGGAAATGTTAGAATATTCATGTTGGGTGAACTACCACTTTAATTATAAAACCGTTCATGAGGCACAGTTGTTTTTAAAAGATCTTTTATATGAGTAAGGAATCTGGCATAGTGCAGACTGGTAGAACAGGCATAATTGTGTGACTTACAAATCAAAAACATCCTTCTCTGTGTTAAACAATTACTTTGTTTCAGGCAATTAATCTTAAAGTGAACAGAGAGTGCATCAATTTAGCATCATTTTTACCAAGGCTTAGAGTTGTAAGTGAGCTGTAATATACACATGCAAGATGACGAAGTTCATAAC